TCTGTATACCCTACAAGGTGATCACCACCAAAAGCCTAGTTACTATCCATCACCATACAATTGACCCCCTTCACCCATTTCACCCACTGTCCAACCTCCTTCCCCTCTGATCACCACCAATCTGTTCTCTGTATCTATGAGTTTGTTTTCGTTTTTGTTTTTGTTTATGAGTTTGTTTTGTTTTTTTAGATTCCACAGGAATAAAATCATATGGTATTTGTCTTTCTCTGTCTGACTTATTTCCCTTAGCATAATACCCTCAATGTCCATCCATGTTGTCACAAATGGCAAGATCTCATCTTTTTTAGGGCTGAGTAGTATTCCATTGTATATATATACCACATCTTCTTTATACATTCACCCATCAATGGACACACAGGTTGTAGGAGTTTGGTTTTGAACATGGAGATGTTGAGTAGGCAGTTGGATGTTAAGAGTTCAACAGCAAGATCTGGATGGAGACGTAAATTTGGGAGTTGTCAGCATGTAGATAGTATTTAAAGCCATGAGACCAAACGAGATCACCAAGGGAGTGAGTGTAGACAGAGGAGAGAAGAGGGCCAGGTGCTGAGCTCTGGGATGCTCCACCACGTAGAATGGGGACATGAGGAGAAAACAGTACCAGACATGGATGAAGAGCAGCCAGTGAGTTATGAGGAAGACCAGATGGGTATAGTGTGCCAGAGCTGAGGAAGGAAACTCTTTGAAGGAACAGGGAGTGATCCACTTCTTAAATGCTTCTGATAGCTCAAGTAAGATGAACCCTAAAGAGCTGGCCACTGGGTCCGGCAACATGGGAGTTATTGGTGACCTTAACAGGAGCACAGCTGGTGGAGTAGTGGAGGAGAAAGCATTCATGGAGTGTACTCATGAGAGAACAGGAGATGAATTGCAGACAGTAAGTGTAGCCAACTTTTTTAGAGAAGAATTGCAGTCAAGGGAGCAACAGCTGGGCCAGGAGCTGAAGGAGAGCATGAAGGTTGAGAGAACAGGGTTTTGTTTTGTTTTGGTTTGTTTTTATTGTTTTAATGGTAGATGGGAGAAACTGTAGCACATTTGCATGTCAATGGACTGCTCACTGGGGAAGGAAAAAAATTGATGATGCAGGCAAAGGAGCAGAGAACTGCTGACTGCAACAATGTCCTCAAGGAAGCCAGAGGGGATGGAATACCGGGCACTAGTAGAGGGGTCTTGGAGATGCAGACTGTTCATCTATAGAAATGGGAGAGGAGACAGAGGATGTGGACACAGACGCAGGTGCAGGTAGGTGGCAAGAGTGACCTTTCTAATTCTTGCTGTTCTGATGGGTGAAAAGTGGTATGTCATTGCTGCAGGGAAAGGTGATGACTGGGGCTAACATCCTTAATAACACGGATCCGGCTTAAAAGAAGAATTGGTGTCTCTCAACTACTTGTGCATCTTTCTTTCCAGGAGCAGGAGTCTGGTTTCTCCCTGAGTGTTTCTCCGTCTCTATGTCTTTGTAGCTCTTCGCATTTCCTCTGTCCTCTACCCATCCACCCTGTCCTTCTATCTCTGTGTATTTACCCCTTTGTTTCTTTCTCTGTCTCCTCCTCCCTTCAGGTTTGCATTGTGGCCTCTCCCCCAGGCCTGGGTGTGGGGCCAACTTTCTAGTCCCAGCCAGCACTTCCAACCAGAACTTCAAGTTTCTGCTTGACAAAGAACCCCATTTTGAAGCCAAGCTAGGGTGGGGCATCCAGGAACCTCGGGCTACCTCCATCTCTCAAGCTTTACTTATTTAACGAGCACATTTGTGGCCCTTGGTCCGCGCCAGGCTCTCATCTGGGCACCTTCAAATATTAACTCATTTAACCCTCCTTTACAAGGTAGCTGCTGTCGATAGCTCCATCTTGCAAATGAGACACTGAGGCACCGAGTGGTCATGTCACTTGAACTCAGGCAGTCTAGCTCCAGAGTCTGAGCTCTGAACCACTAGGAACACCTCATCTTTTTTCTAGTCCTTTCTTCTTTCTCCTGCCCTGCTCTTTGTGGGGGGACAGTACTCCTGGATTTGGTCCAGTTGGTGTGTGACTTTCAGCAGCTCACTGCCCTCCACTCCAGTTGCCTTATTGATCAAGTGAGGGGGGAATGCACCCAACTCTCTGTGAATCCATGAACTCACTTCAATGAGAATCAGCCAACCTAAGTCCTGGCCAATCAGAACCCCTAGTATCATCATTGACCTGCTACTCACTTTTTAGCAAAAGCCAAAGCCAGCCACCCCCACTCCAGGTTCCAACCCTTCCCAAATGAGAAAGGTTTTTCTGGAAGCATGGACCCAGGCCACAAGAGGGCACAGCTACCCTGACTTCCCATACAAGCCTGTCACCTTACTCAATCTGGCATCCTCCCTCCTGCCACTCGTCTGAACCCAACTCTACTCAAAAAGAGTGAACTCAGTGCCCACTCTGGGTCCAGCCCTGGGATGTGGGGTGGTTTCAAGGTGGAGAAGGACAGTGGCCTTTCTCTCACTTTGAGAGGGGCTCACAGCTATGACCCAGCCCACTCCCACCAAAACCCTACCCTAGCACATAACATTCAATCTCACGTCTAGTCCTCACTATCAGTGTCAACCCACGACACCAACTCAACCGTATTTCAATACCTCCCCATCTAAAACCTCAACTTGGCACCATCTCCAGCCCCAACCCAACAGGACTCTATCAACAACCTTATCCCCAGATCCCTCCCATCTACACTCCAATCCTACCCCCAAAACCAACTCCAACTCCCTCCTCTCCCCATATCCATTCTCCTCCCCAAACTCACTTGCATTCCCAGTGCTGTGATGACCATCAGACCCATCCTAAACCTGAGCACAAACTTTTAGTCCTAGAATAGGGAAAAATTGTGAAAGACTTTAAGATGGACCCAATAGGTGTCTTGGATGGAAAACTAGATGAGTTATCTGATTTTATGAGGTCTCTGCTTCTTTTACTGTCTTTGAGCTACTTTGCAACTCTATAAATTATAGATAGCTGATAGCAATGCAAATAATTCTCGTCCATAACCGTGCAAATGAGTTTTGTCAGGTGGAAGTACATTTCCCTCCCCTCCATATAGAATAAGCCAGTATTGCATCTATCTATAAATTCATTTCGACATTCCTTATTGCTTACACATGTGTGGTTCTTCGTAACATCTTGCTAGTTCCATCATTTATTAATGAATCAAAATAAAATCTTTGACATGTTCATTTTAAATATGTAGGAGAGTCATGGTTAGACCCTTCAAAAATATATGTCTTTTAACACTAGTTTTGATCCCTACATCCAAACGTTAACTCCCCCAGTACGGACCATACCAGTTTTGATGTGAATCCTCACTCCTTCCATCTCAACCCTTTAACCTCGTTGTGACACCACTGCTCTCTCTCCTTCCAGACTTTATCTCGTCCCCATCCATGGCTTTCTTCCAAATTCTGACCCCACCTCTGTCCTCCCTAATCCTTAATCCTGCCCCCTCCACCCCAGATTAACTCTCGGTCCCACCCTGTCACAGTTCCAGGAGCCGCCTATTCATTCCCAAAACACCACTTCTTCCTGCTTCCTCTTCCCCCCCATCCTGGCCCCCAGAGCTTTCCAATTCCCCCTTTTCTCCACCTACGGCCCCCGTGGACTCCCTGAACCCATCTGGCCCTGTTCCTAAAAGGCCATTGGTCCAAAATATTGCTTTCCCAGGCCCAATCCCTGCCCCCATCCAAATCCAAGACGGGTGATTTATACCCACCTATCTGAAGATTCCCTTCTTGTGCCTGATGGTTGGGGAGGAGGAAACAGTAGAATACATTTGGGCGTCCTTGTGTTTTTCAGAAGAAAAAGGGCTGGAATTGGAGTTGGAGCTGGAGATGAGGCTGGGGACTGAAATTTGGATGTGTTAGGTTTGGTGTTGAGAGATAAATTTGAGATAATTGTTGATGGGACTGGATGATGGGACTGGATTTGAGGGATAGGCTGGTGGTAAGGGGTGTGGTTAGGATTAGGTAGGTATATGGAAATAAGGTGGAAAATGGCCATCTGGGTGGAATATGCACGGGGCTGGAGTGGAGATCAGAAAGTGGGATGGAAAATGTGTTGATGTTAGGGCAGGTCATGGGGATTTGGAGTGGGTTTGGCCTGTCCCCTTCCCTCTAGGTGGGTCCTGCTGCCTGAAGATTCACAGTGGGTTCAACGCGGGCTTGGGCAGGCCCGGATCTAGGTCCCAGCTTGTCCTGGAAGCTCCGCCCCCAGCGGAGGGCCAAGCCCAGGCTGGGGGGTGCCTGGTGACAGCTTGCCGAGCCATTGGGGGTGGAGAGGGGGAGGCCAACAACAGGGAAATGCTGAGGGCGCTGGGGGAGGGAGTTCAGGGGTTAAAAGCCATGGGTCCGGGCTGAAGTTGGAAGCAGTTGGCGGCAGAAGCTCTTCACCCGGGCCCCTCGCCGAGGTAGGGTCCGCCAGGGGCGGGGGCGGGAGCGTTGGAGGGAAGGAGGCAGGAGAGGAAGGAGAGGAGAGGAGGGAAGGGAACAGAGGGAGAATAGCTGAGTCAGGGAGATAGAGAGGGGAGCCAGAGGCTCAGTTACAGAGAGAGAAATCTGCAGAGATGGAGAGAGGTGAAGCACGCAGAAAGATAAGAACCTCCGTTTGAGACCAGGTGTCCCTACCGACCCTAAGAGAGGGCACTGGGGACGCAGAAGGGGGAGGGAGGGGCAGGAGGGCGGACCGAGGACCTAGCTCCCTGGGGGGCAGGGGTGGAAGGGCTGGCCACCTGGGATGAGGGACAGCAAGCAGGTGTCCTAGGGGGGTGCACACCGCCCCCCCCCACCTCGTTACTGGGCCCCCCCACCGAGGATAAGTTTGGAAAGGGAATGCAGATTCCAGAGTCAGAGTTCTCAGTGCAGGAGAGGAAAAATTCAAGACTGAGAAGTGCAGGAGCAGAGGTGGGGGGGCGTCCAGAGATGGGGGATCTAGCCAGCCCTTAACACCTCCTTCAACGTCTCAGGCCCGCCCACCCCGGAGTCGCCATGTGGCCCCTGGCCGCTATGACCGCCTTCCTGACCGTGACCCTGTCAGGTGGTAAGAATGCGCGGGGAGTGGAGGCGGGGTGGCCACTCCGGACAATGGTAGGAGGGGTCAGGCCGAGGGGAGGGGGCGTGGTAGCCTCGAGCTCCGCCCCTTGCCCACTCAGGCCGGTCCCGCGGGATGGCCCTGACAGCTTCCTGCTTATCCTTGCGTGACCTGGTTTTCCGGCTGGGGTCAGCCCACTCTCCCCACCGACCCCAGACCCTTCCCAGGGGCATCCCAGCCCAGCTGGGCACCCACCACTATTTTTAAGTCTTCTGGATCTTCCCCGCCAGCCCCTTCCCTGGGTGTCCTACTCAGCACTGGAGAGCCCACCCTCCAATCGCTACCCCATAGCAGCCCCTCCCACATTCAAGGCCTCTCTGCGAGTTAGAGGAGACAGACAGACACGGGTTCAAATCCTGATGCTGCCACTCTGAGCAAGTAACTTAGCTTCTTTCTTTCGTCTGTAAAATGGGAACATTTAAGTCCTTACCTCAAAGGGTTGTTGTGAATATTAAAATGAGATAATGCATATCAGGTGCTCAGTGTGTGGTAGGTAGCAAGGATTGGAAAGCTAGTCATTATTACTTTATTAGTAGTGCAGTCGTGTCCCACTTAAACGACTTTCAGTCAAAGATGGACTGCATATACAATGGTGGTCCCATAGGATTAGTCCCGTATAATCTAAGTACCACAAACGATGTAGGTTTGTGTAAGTACTACAGGTGAGGAAGAAATTTTCCTCTACCCTTCTAGTTTCTTCTAACTGGTCTAAGAATTAAATTGACATGAGACAAATTAATAGGAGAAAAACAAACAAAAGTTTAATAACATGTATACGTGGGAGAAACCCAGGAAAACCCAGTAACTCTCCAAAATGGCTGAAGCCCTCACCTTAAATACCATCCTCAGCTAAAGACAAAAGAAGATGTTGGGGGGCCAGCCCGGTGGCAAAAGCGGTTAAGTGCGCGCACTCTGCTGTGGCGGCCTGGGGTTCACCGGTTCGGATCCTGGGCGGACACCAATGCACCACTTGTCAAGCCATGCTGTGGCGGCGTCCCATATAAAGTGGAGGAAGATGGGCATGGATGTTAGCCCAGGGCCAGTCTTCCTCAGCAAAAAAAAAAAAAAAGAAGAAGAAGAAGAAGAAAATGTTGGAGGTGGGGAGAGTCAGGGACTTCAAAGGGAAGGAAGGCAGTTGAAAAGGAGCAGATGTTTGGAAAACAAGTGTTTATTTGGCCACACAGAAACAAAAACACAGAGAGGAGCCCAACATACAGGCTTTTCTAGGTTCCTCCCTGTCTGCTACCTAGTTCGTGTGGTGCTAAGATGATAGCTCACTTCCTGAGACAGGTTTTTTAATCTGAATTCTTTTAGACAGTTAAGGGGGCAGGAACAAGAAAAACTTTCTGAGTTTTTTGTTTCTTAAAAATAATCAGCCTAAAATAGTCCTCATGTTAGAGACACATTTTGTTTTGTTTTGTTTTTAAAGATTTTACTTATTTATTTTTTCCCCCCAAAGCCCCAGTAGATAGTTGTATGTCACCGCTGCACATCCTTCTAGTTGCTGTATGTGGGACGCGGCCTCAGCATAGCCGGAGAAGTGGTGTGTCGGTGCGCATCCAGGATCCGAACCCGGGCCGCCAGCAGCGGAGCGCGAGCACTTAACCGCTAAGCCACGGGGCCGGCCCATAGAGACACATTTTGTGATGGCAAATTTCGTTCCCCTTCAGTACGCTCTACGATGTTCGTGCAATGACGAAATCGCTTCACAGCACATTTCTCGGAATGTATCCCCATCGTTAAGTGACACACGACTGTGTTCTCTCTCTATTCTTAGCCCTTTCTAGAACCTGCTAGTTTGTTTTTCCGTTAATCCTTGGGGTGACCTGAAACCTATCTGATTCCACCCAGAGTTGGTCGCCAAAGATTCCTTTTCTCTCATTTAAGCTCCTTTCCCTGCCTTTGCAGACAAGTTCTCTGGAAACCCCATTCGTGCATCATTTATTCATTCATTCTTTCAACAAATAGCTGTTGAGCAAAAACACAGTTCCTGCTCTCAGCACCCAGAGCCTAGAGGGAATGGATGCAGACGTTATTCAATTACCCAAATAATTAGTTAATAATTAGTTACAACTGTGACATGAAGTGACATTGTCAAGGAGCCTAGAGATGTAATGGCTGCTCCTGGCCTGGAAGGAAGGAATTGACCCTTGGGCTGAGACCCAAAGGAGAGAGGGATCTGAGGGCACCTGGCATCCAGCACCACCTTTGGCCTGAAGGTGGGGTGGCTTCTCTCCTTTGGCGACACTCCCAGGACTTGTGCCCATGACCTGAGCCCCTCCTGTGTGTCACGCCCTGAGCTAGGAGCTCCACACGCATCCTCTTGTGGAATCCTCAGTGGTCTTATGAGGTAGGTGCACTATAATTACTCCAGTTTTACAGCTAAAAAAAAACCCAAAACTCTGAGATAGTAGAGTCCAGCTCCAAAGACACCAACAGTGCCTGAGTCAGGATCCTAATCCACGCCGCCTGCCCTGTCCCCCACATCCTGGACTTTACGCCCTGGCAAACCATCTTCATTATTTTGGACATAATGGTCTGCTTAGAGTCAATTCTTTTCTTTTTTTTCTTTGCTTAAAGGATATTAAAAGTGAGTTTAGGGGCAGGCCCCGTGGCTTAGCAGTTAAGTGCGCGCCCTCCGCTACTGGCGGCCCGGGTTTGGATCCCAGGTGCGCGCCGACGCACCGCTTCTCCGGCCATGCTGAGGCGGCATCCCACATACAGCAACTAGAAGGATGTGCAACTATGGCGTACAACTATCTACTGGGGCTTTGGGGAGAAAAAGGGAAAAAAAGGAGGAGGATTGGCAATAGATGTTAGCTCAGGGCTAATCTTCCTCACCAAAAAAAAAGAAAGAAAAGTGAGTTTATATCACTGTCCTAAATGGAAAACAGCCTACTTTTCCATTACCTATCAAAAAGGTAAGAGAGAAAAATAAATCTCACACAATGAAACAAAAACAATATGTTTATTGGGTTGGACCACCTGAAATTACCAACAGTTGATCCTTTTTGACCTCCCCCAAAACAATGATTGCAGATGGTTCAAATCAACAAATTTTAGGTTGCTGGACAAAGGCTTCTACTTCCTCCTGGTTTTAAAAAGTGAGCTCAGTGAGGATTAGAGAGGTGTTAAGAGCCTATTAGCACCATCATGAGACTTTCCCCTTAACAAAATCAGGATTGAAAGAGAACTGGATGATGATTTGGTTTCTGAGGGTGCAATCTGACGTTGCTCACACTTCATCTCTGTACCACCTAAAATGACCTTGTGCCCACCATGACTCCCGGCCCCAACTCTGAGAACCACTGGGCTAATCCCACCATTTATGTAGGTGGGGAAGCTGGCCCAGGGAGAGGGGACCTGCTGGCCACAGAGCTGGGGACCCCCGTTATAGTTAATAATAACAGTTCCCACTTACTGAGTGCTTTCTCTGTGACAGGCGCTGTGTGTGTCTTAGATGTAAGATCTTGTTGAATCCTACAACTGCCCCATGAGAGACGAAACTATGACTTTTCCTACTTTACAGCTGAGAAAACTGGGGCTGGTGACTCGTATGGGATCATGGCACATTCAGGACTGGACTTTCTCTGTCCCTTTGTCAACTGCTGTGCCTCCAATGCCAGGCATAGTGCCTGCCACACACAACCTTCATTGGTTGAGCACCTACTGTGTGCCAGACACTGTGCTAGGTACTGAGGATGCAGCACTGAATAAAGCAGTTAAGCGCCTGTTGTCAGTAGGGTTTACAGTCAAGATGGGGACATTACAAAAAACATAAATGGGAACAAATAGAAAAAGAAATGAATAGTGATTGTGGCACTGATGAAAATCAACTGGGGAGATATAAGAGGGAATGACTGGGGAGCTAGGAGGGGTGATATTAGACCGGGTGCCCAGGGATCAGGGATGGCTTTAGATTCTGAGTGCCACCGAGTAGAGTATTTCATACATATGTATTATGTTCTATGACTGCACTGTCCAATATGGTGGCCTCTGGACATGTGGGACTTTTGAGCATTTCAAATGTGACTGGTGTGATTGAAGAAATGAACTTTTTATTTCATTTTAGTTAGTTCAAATTTTAATAGCCACATGTGGCTAGTGGCTACCATATTGAACAGCACAAGTCTCGAGAAAGAACTGTCCAGAAAGAGGAAGCAGCAAGTATCAAGGGTCTGGTGTGCTTGAAGAACAGGTCCATGAGTCTGGAACTGAGTGAGTGAAGAGGAGAGAGGTGGGAGATGGAGCCAAAGAGGCCAGCAAGGGTCAGAAGCTCCAGAGTCCTGTGAACTGAATTTGGGTGTAGCTAGTCTGTGGATGGTATTGAAAGCCATAGAGGCACCCTTAAATATGTGTTGAAAGGATGGATGGTTGGATGGGTGGATGGGTGGATGGGTGGATAGATGAATGGATGGATGGGTGGATGGACAGGTGGATGGATGGATGGATAGGTGGATGGATGGATGGATGGATGGATGGATGGATGGATGGATGGATGGATGGTTGGATGGATGGATGGATGGATGGTTGGATGGATGGATGGATGGATAGGCGGATGGATGGATGGATGGATGGACGGATGGATGGATAGGTGGATAGATGGATAGATGTATGGATACTGCCTAGGTAGGTAGATATGTAGGGACGGCTCACTTCTACATCCTGAAATCCATCCCCATGGTGGAATGAGAGAGAAAATGCAGATGGGGAGAAAATCAGCCTTCTGCTTACCTATCAGAACCATCCTCATTCCATGTACTCTTCTTTTAACCCCAATGGAGGGTTTGGCACTTCTACGGAAAAGAATGTCACCTCTTTGTCCTGACTCATCTCCACTACATAGAAAATGGCAACTCCTAGAGGCCAACAAATGAATCATCAGTTCCTGGTTACCCAGAGCAAAATTCTGACCCTCTCTCCCCGCCCAGGAACCACAACTCCAGGCCTCTTCTCCCTGGACCCCAATTCTCTAACATTTCTCTTCTTCACCAGGCATCTCTCAAGAGTTTCCCAAGATTCTCAACAACACCAATGGGACCAGTGGGTTTCTCCCTGGTGGCTACACCTGCCTCCCCTATTCTCAGCCCTGGCAGGCAGCCCTACTAGTGCGAGGGCTGCTGCTCTGTGGGGGAGTCCTGGTCCACCCCAAATGGGTCCTGACTGCCGCACACTGTCTCAAGGAGTATGTGGGGGCCAGGGGAGCATGGGACGTGGATAAGTGTGGGAGTGGGGTGCTGGGTGGGGTGGGTTTGGATTTGAAGATGAGGTTGGAGTTAGGGTTGGGTGGGTACGAGAGTGAGAATGAGATTTGGGGTGGAGATACGAGAGTTGGGTGTAAAAATGGAGTCCAAGTAGAGGATTTGGATGGGATTGGAGTTGAGGATGTGGAAGGAGATGTGTTTGGAGATGAGGAAGGTGGGAAGTGGAAGAGGCTGGAGCTGGGATGGGGATAGAGATGGGCTCATCCTCTCCTCTAACCACCACTTTCCTATACCCACAGCAAGTACAGAGTTTACCTGGGCAAGCATGCTCTGGGGCATGTGGAGGCTGGAGAGCAAGTGAGGGAGGTAGTCCATTCTATCCCCCACCCTCGATACCAGATCAGCCCCACCCACCTGAACCATGACCACGACATCATGCTTCTGGAGCTGCAGTCACCAGTCAATCTCACGAGCCACATCCGCGTCCTGCCCCTCTCCCACAATGACGGCCTCCCCCCAGGCACCTGCTGTCGGGTGTCTGGCTGGGGCACCACCACCAGCCCCCAGGGTATGAAACCACACAAGTGGCCTGAGGTCTCACAGAGAATGGGCAGAGATGGGAGGGTAGGTTGGAGGAGGATTCTTTATATATAAAAATATAAGTATATATAGTTATACATTATATATGTGATATGTATATAATATGTAAAGATATATCTCAGGGCCGGCCCCGTGGCTTAGCGGTTAAGTGCGTGCCCTCCACTACTGGCGGCCCGGGTTCGGATCCCGGGCGCGCACCGATGCACTGCTTCTCCGGCCATGCTGAGGCCACGTCCCACATACAGCAACTAGAAGGATGTGCAGCTATGACATACAACTATCCACTGGGGCTTTGGGGGGAAAATAAATAAATAAAAATTTTAAAAAATAAAAAAAATAAAGATATATCTCCTATATAAATATAAAAATATAAATTTATAAATATAAAGCTATATATGTTATATATCATACATAATGTATAGTTATATCCTTTATTTGAATATATAAAGTTATATATGTTTTATATATTATGTATAATATATAGTTATATATGTTCTTTAGATAAATGTATAAATTTATAAAATATGTAAAAATATATAAATATGTAAAAATGTACTATATAATATATATACGTGATATATTTATATAAATATACATAATTATAGACCTGTGGATAAATATGCAAATTATATTATATAAATTAGATTTTTCTAAATTATAGATGATCTATTTGTGTATTTATTTAAATATACTTATAAAGAAGATGTTATATACATTCTAAATATATTTAAATATAAATATTTATAATTTAGAAAGTAAATTTAATTTATTGATAAGTATGTTTATTAAATATAATAAAATATAAATAAATATATCCCTTGTATAAATTATATATGAAGATAAAGTTGGTCTCTATAGCAACAAGCGCTCTTTGTATCTCCATAGTAGTCTCTAGCTGTCTCCCAGTCTCGTTTCCGTATCTGTCTCCCAACATGCCCCGTCTCTCTAACCACGGCTCTGTCCTACTCTCCCACATCTCTCTCCATGCTCCTCGTGTTTTCCCCATCTCCACTTCTCTATCTCTCACCGTCTCTGTCTTCCTATTTCTTCCAGCTCTTTCTCTTTCCCCATCACTCGCTCCACCTCTCTCCTCATCTACCTCCCCATTTATCTCTCTTCCCTCCCAGTTACCTGCCCCATCCCTCTCCATCTTTCCCTCCACTTTTCTCCTCATCTTTCCTTCCACCTCTCCCCCCATTTCCACATTACTGTCTCTTCCATCACTTCCCCCATTTACATATCCCATCTCTTCCCCCATTTTTCTACCAACTCTCTGCCCATCCAAATCCCACCCCGTAGCCTACCTGAGCAGATGTGCTTAGACCTTCCTCTCCCTCCTCCCCAGTGAGTTTCCCTCAAACCCTGCAATGTGCCAACATCCAGCTACGCTCAGATGAGGAGTGTCGTCAAGTCTACCCAGGGAAGATCACACCCAACATGCTGTGTGCCGGCGCAAAAGAGGGTGGCAAAGACTCCTGTGAGGTGAGGCCAAAGGGGTGGTGGGTTGCCACGGGCCAGGATGGGAAGCCAGAATGGAGGTGTGAAAAGATGCTTGGGGGAAAAGATTTTAGCTTCCAGCCTTGGGGGAACGAGTCTTTGTAAGGTGAGATGTTCCCTAGCATAGGAGATCAAGATGAAAAGGGAGTACTCATGGCTGGCAAAGATAATTCATGTTAAGCCTGGGCTTTGACAGTGGCTGCCCGGATCCTTGTGTCAAGATGCATAAAGATTGGGATTCTTTTGGTTGCAACTGACAAAAACCCAACTCAAACTGGCTTAAGCAAAACACTGGCTTTTGTAACTGAAAAGTCCACGGGTGTCTTGCTTCATCCATGGATGGATCCAGGTGCACAAATAATGTGTTGAGGACTCTGTGCCCCTTTAACTCTCAGCTATTCTCTCTTCTGTTTTGGCTTCATTCTCAATTAAGCTCTTCCTATGCAATAGCAAGATTGCCCCGGCAGCTTTGGGCTTACGTCCCACCCTCTAAGCAACACCATCGGAAAGAGAGAACATCTCTTTTCCTATAGTTTACATAAACATCTTGAGCATGATTCTCACTAGACTGATTGAGTTTTGGTTCAGTGGGAAAGAGTATGATAATGAATTAATGATGTGTACCTTATCAATTAGTAATGTTTGCCCCAGGCCCAGGGGAAGTGGACATACACGTGTGTTGCATACTCTACCCAGATGTGGTTGGGTTAATTCAATAGTAAGACCGCAGGGAGAAACCATAAAGCCAAAGCAGGGCCGGGGGGACAGGGAGTGCAAGGTGGGATTTGGTGCCAGGGAACCAAAAACGTGTGTATGAGGTAAGCTGTCGCCACTTTATTAAGACTGAGGAACAGGAAAACAGGGAGAGACACAGAAGTGTCTGTCTGTCTCTGTCTTTCTGCTTCTCTCTTCCTGTCTCTCTGTCCCTCTGTGTTTGTCTTCTTATCTCTGTTTCTCATCCCTGTATCTCTGTTATTGTCTCTCACCCTCTCTCCATATTCCTCTGTCTCTTTATATCTGCCTCCATGGGTGTCTCTCTCCATCTTTCACTCTCTCCCCACATGTCCCCATGTCTGCCTTTGTTTAGCCCCAGCGAGGACCCCACTTCTCTCTCTCTCTCCCTGACTCAGGGCGACTCTGGGGGCCCCCTGGTCTGTAACGGAACCCTCTATGGTATCATCTCCTGGGGAGACTTCCCATGCGGGCAGCCCAACCGGCCTGGAGTCTACACCCGAGTCTCTCAATATGTTTCATGGATCCAAGAAACAATCCGACAACAGACAACGCAGAAGCAGAAATGGACGAAGGGCCTGCAGTAAGAGTCAGTTGACTTACCCGCCTTCTTCCTCCCACCATGCCCTCCTTATTTGGTTTGCCCAGTCCTTCTCTGCCTCTCTCAGAGTGCTCCAGTTGAACCAGTGATCCGTGACCTCAAAATGTCCAGTCTCAGCTGACACTCGATGTTTCAAAAGCACTCAGTCACTGCCAACATCATGGTCTCCCAGACGTTGCATCCTAGAAACATCCCAGTCTCCTGAGTGTCCCAACCCAGACAACGTTCCAGATCTCCCAACTGTTTCAACGTAAACCCAGATCGCCATCTGGATGGTCTATCTGCGAAACACTCAAATACCTCCATCAACTCGTCTCAACAATATCCTATGTCCTGTGAACGGACCTTCCTTGACAACATCCCATACCGCTTCAAATATTTATTCTTTGCCAATATTCTAGATCCTTCTACGTTTTGTACTCAAGAAGGTTCTGGACACCCGTGACATTTCATCCTGAAAATGTTCTCTAATGCTCCAAATCTTCTGCCCCAACAACATTCTGTGCACCTCTGAGTGATTCATCACAGCTCACGTTGGATCCTAATAATGGTTCATTCTCGCATAGTTCTGGGTCTCCCAAGTGTCCCATCCCTACCTACGTCCCATGTTCTGTCAATATCCAGCCTCTGCCAATATTCGGTCTCTGAATCCCCATGTCCGTTAAAGACCACCAGCACTCTAGACTCTAGAGTGATGGGGTTCAGTACCCCAAGGTGTCTCCCTTCCTGGACCCTATTGTCAACCAAATATTCTGTCCTTTTATCTCCTCCATGAACATCCCTTTTCAATGCTCCGTGCTGTTTCTTCTTTGCCCACGATCCCAAACTACAGTGGTTAAATGCTCAAGCCACTGGAGTCCCTGCTTTGAATAAGTCGTAAAACTCACCACCTCTGTTTTCTCATCTGCAAAATGGGGCTCATTTCTTCATAGCATTGTTACAAAGATGAACGTTGAGCGCTTACCGCTATTATTATTTGCATGGTTTCCTGTAAAATATTACCTTAGGATATCAATAACAACCCCTCAGATTTGCAGAGTGTCCAAAAAGTGTTGCATTCATTTATTTTTCTCGGTGGACATTTATTTGGTGCTGACCATGTGCAGGCACTCTCCTAGGTGTTGGTAAATACAATTTTGTTTACTTATTCAACAAATGTTGGTACCTATCATGAGCCAGTCACCATTGCAGACACAGGTGGTAAACAGTGAATTAAACAAAAACTTCCGCCCTTGCAGAGCTTACATTCTTTTCGGGGAGACTAGCGATAAAAAAGATGAATAAGGAAATAGACTGTCGGGCTGCCCCGTGGCATAGTGGTTAAGTGCGCTCGCTCAGCTTTGGCGGCCCCTGGTTCACAGGTTCAGATCCTGGGTGTGCACCGACGCACTGCTTGTCAAACTATGCTGTGGTGGCGTTCTATATAAAGTAGAGGAAGATGGGCACAGATGTTAGCCCAGGGCCAATATTCCTCACAAAAAGGGAAGGATTGGCAACAGATGTTAGCTCAGGGCTAATCTTCCTCACATACACACACACAAAAGAAATAGACTGTCAGGTGGCAATATATGCCAGGGCAAAAAATGAAGCAGGGTTGAAGGAGAGGGAATACTGGTTTGGAGAGAGTGGATGGAGTTGCTATTTTATTTCATTATTTTTTTTTATTTATTTGTTTTTTGGAGCTGCTATTTTAAATAGGATGGTTTGGGAAGAAGACTCGACTGAGATGGTGACATTTAAAGAAAGACCAAAAGGATGGAGGGAGGGAACCAGGTGCATATATGCGGAGCAGATAGTATACCCCAAGGGGAGAGTATGACGAGTGCAAAGGCCCTGAGGCAGGAAGCTCCCTGGTCTGTCTGAAGACCAGTGAAGAGGTTGGTGTGGAAGCAATTGCAATAGCCCAGGCCAGAAATGAGGGTGCCTGGACTGGGTGATATCATCAGAGGAGTTAAGAGGTCAGATTCTGGGGCCGGCCCCGTGGCGTAGCGATTAAGTGCGGGTGCTCCACTGCTGGCGGCCCGGGTTCGGATCCCGGGCGCGCACCAATGCACTGCTTGTCTGGCCATGCTGAGGCCGCGTCCCACATACAGCAACTAAAAGGATATGCAGCTATGACATACAACTATCTACTGGGGCTTTGGGGGAAAAAAAAAAACAATAAACCTGTATTCTAAAAAAAAAAGAGGTCAGATTCTGGATCTTTTTGAAGGAATTGTTAGTGTCTGCTGATGTCAGATGGAGAATGCGAGAAAAGGATAGTCGAGGATGACTCCAACGCTTTGCCCTGAGCAACTGGAAGGATGGAGTTGCCATTTACTAAAATGGGGGGACTCTGGGAGGAACAGGTTTGCAGGGAAGGGTCAAGAGTCTTTGTTTTGAACTGTTTATTGGACAGCCAAGTGGCAATAAACTCTGCCCTCAGGGGGTTTACAGAAAACAAACAAATACACTAAATAACTGCAGATTGATGATTTCTATGTGTTAATAAATGTAGCCCATGAAGGATATAAACAGGGTTTTGTGTTAGAGAATTAGGGGAGAAGGCTATTTTCAGTGAGGTGGTCAGGGAGGGCTTCTCAGAGGAGGTATTGACATTTGGCTGAAGATCCTAAAAGATGGGAGGGAGCCACTTTTGCAAAAAGTGGGGTAAATATCCCTGAAAAGGGGTGTCACGGGGGCAAAGTCCCTGAGTTGAGCTTATTCCAGGATCTTTGGGGAAGGCCAGTGAGACCACAGAGCAATGATGACAGGAGTTCCTCAGCAGGGATTGCGATTGGAGGATTCAGCTGGAGCCAAATATGCAGGATCTTTTTAGGCAGTGGGACAGAGCTTTGTCCTTCCAGTGTGATGGCAAGCCCCTGAGCAGTGGTGAACAGGGGAAGGATCCTATCTGAGATCATATCCTCCCTCTGGATGTTGGGTGGGAGGTAAAGACAAGGGAGCAGGGGCTGTGGAAGCAAGGGAGGCCAAGCTGGAGTTGACTGTAGTGATCATGTGGGCAAGGGCAGGGCCATGGCTTGGGCCAGGAGAGATGAAAAGATGCGGATGGGTTGGAGAGAGTTTGCAGTAACATCAATGCAACTTAGTGACACAATCGATTCTTATTAGTCACGGTAGTTACATTCTATAAAGTCACTGCCAGCCCTGAGTTAGCAAATGTCGAACCACTGCCCTTAGGGGAAACACAGTTGCAGGTTCCTGCAAGCCTCTGGTCACGTTCCTGTCAACCAATGAATAGATAACCTTGTTTCATTTGTATTTCTGTTTAAAGACACTTAGTCTAATATACATCATTGATTGACTCACATTGAATTCACAGCCAACAGCCCTATAACTCGAGCGTGAAGGAAGCTCGTCTAACACATACTTTTTCTGCAAGGCACATCCCTGCACTTAGGAATACTGGACAGCGCTTCAGTGCTATGCTCGGTGGGGCGGGGGTGGGGAGGCATTTAAAACAATGAAATCATCAAGAAAAAGCACAAAAATGCAAAAAAAAACAGTGGCACCAAGTTGACCATGAAAAGGACACTTGTTTGCAGATTGAGAGCTGAACCGAGAAGGCAAAGCATTGCTTTCTTCAACCTCAGCTGAGAACGTGCTGTCAGTGCAAATAACCAATAACCATCCTATAGATAGGAGACAGAAGGGGAATTTTGCTTGATCTGGGGAGGCAGTCTCCACCAAGGGAGAAAGCGTTCCGGAGAAACGTGGTTTGCAGCATGATTATATAATGTCTCACAATAAAGAACATACATCAAGCATGACAGGGATACATTTTTTCAAAATCACAAGGAGATATTTTGCTGTGGTTTGGCACGTACACAGCAGGCCAACTTGACCCTGGTTTCTAGGAAGAAAAACTTATCTTCAAAAGAGTCCTGGTATTGACGTCAGAGAGCATCCTTTCCTTGTGGATAGTGAGGTAAAGCAGATGTACAGTGTCTGTTTGTCAGGCCATAAATCAGGTTGCTCTGGTTAAAATAAAATTCAGACCAAGTTAGGTTTAAACCAGAATAGCGTCCTCACACGCCTTAGTATTTTAGATTTCTCTTACGTTCATGCACATCAGGTGACTCAAACTTTTCACCACTCTGTGCATGTCTGTGAATGACCGCGAAAGCCCTGTGATCATTGGTTTGGGTGTATTGATAGATCTTAGCGAGTAAGTGAATTCACAAATTTGGAATCCGTGAATAATGAGGATCAACTATATACGTAGGGGTGAAGGTGAGGCACGTGTCAAGGATGATTGATCGTCCCTGGTTCCTACAAAGGGAGACTGGAATTTGGTGTTTAGAAGCACAGAGGTTGGAGTCCAAATGATCTGGTTAGGGATTGAAGGATCTTTATCTTTTGGGAGCCTCAGTTTCCTTATCTGGTAGGTTGACCTTAAACAAATAGACAGCCAGTTATTTCTCCAGCAAAAATGGGTTTATTCAGGATCAACAAAGAATTCTAGTTTGGGATCTGCAACCATGGTCTGCCACGTGCAAGGTCCAAGCAACAAAGGGAATAGAAACTCTTTGATAGAGGGGAAGAGGATGTTGGGAGGGCTGTTGGAATCAAAGAGCTCATTGGAGGAGACTGGGAGTTCCAAGTGTGGTGGGTTTTCACGGGCTGAGTCAGTCTCTCATTGGCTGAGCTCTTGCTGGGCAAGAAGAGGAAGTCTTTCTTCTTTCTGTTGGGTTGGCCGAGTCATAGGGTGTGAGAGCTCCCCCTTCTGTCTTCTTGACATCATTTTATTTTATTTTATTTATTTATTTATTGTGAGGAAGATCAGCCCTGAGCTAACATCCGTGCTAATCCTCCTCTTTTTGCTGAGGAAGACCGGCTCTGACCTAACATCTATTGCCAATCCTCCTCCTTTTTTGTTCCCCCAAAGCCGCAGTAGATAGTTGTATGTTATAGCTGCACATCCTTCTAGTTGCTGTATGTGGGACACGGCCTCAGCATGGCCAGAGAAGCGGTGCGCCGGTGGGCGCGGTGATCCAAACCCCGGGGCCGCCAGTAGGGGAGCATGCGCACTTAACTGCTAAGCCACGGGGCTGGCCCCTTTGACATCATTTTAAATGAGGTTTCTGTTTATTAATTTTCACAGGTACCAACAGGACCTACTGCTCAGAGCTGTTGGGAGGACTGAATGAAAGATTGGCATTTAAAGGCTCTCCACACAGCAACTTCCCAATCAATGGAGAAGCAGCACGACATAGTAAAGAACCTCGTTTCTGAGGCCAGGCTGCCTGAGTTTGAATCCCAGCCCTGTCACTTATTTAAGCACACGACTTATTCACTTTCTCCATGCCTCAGTTTCCCCATGATTTATTTACTTTTTTAAATTTGTTTTTAAATTTGTTTTTATTGAGGTAACATTGGTTTATAACATTATATAAATTTCAGTTGTACATCATTATATTTTGATTTCTGTATAGATTACATCATGTTCACCACCCAAATACTAATTACAACCCATCACCACACACATGTGCCGAATCATTCCTTTCTCCACCTCCCTCCCCGCTTCCCCTCTGGTAACCACCAATCCAGTCTCTGTCTCTACATGTTTGTTTGTTGTTATTGTTGTCTTCTATTTATGAATGAGATCATGCGGTATTTGACTTTCTCCCTCTGGCTTATTTCGCTTAGCATAATACCCTCAAGGTCCATCCATGTTGCCACAAATGGCTGGATTTCATCCTTTTTCATGGCTGAGTATATATATATATATATATACTATACTATATAGTACTATATACTATAGTATATATACTATATACTATACTATATACTATACTATATACTATATATAGTATATATACTATATACATCTTCTTTATCCATTCGTCCCTTGCTGGGCACCTAGGTTGCTTCCAAGTCTTGGCTATTGTGAATAATGCTGCAGTGAACACAGGGGTGCATATATTTTTACGCATTTGTGTTTCCATGTTCTTTGGATAAATACCCAGCAGTGGAATAGCTGGATCATATGGTAGTTCTATCCTTGATTTTTTGAGAAATCTCCTTACTGTTTTCCATAGTGGCTGCACCAGTTTGCACTTCCACTAGCAGTGTATGCGAGTTCCCTTTTCTCCACATCCTTTCCAACACTTGTCATTTCTTGTCTTGTTAATTATAGCCATTCTGATGGGCATGAGGTAATATCTCACTGTGGTTTTGATTTGCATTTCTCTAATAATTAATGATGTTGAACATCTTTTCATGTGCCTGTTGGCCATCTGTTTATCTTCTTTGGAGCAATGTCTGTTCAGGTCTATTGCCCATTTTTTAATTGGGTTGTTAGTTTTTTTGTTGTTGAGATGCATGAGTTCTTTATATATTTTGGTTATTAGCCACTTCTCAGATATATGGTTTGCAAATATTTTCTCCCAATTATTAGGTTCTCTTTTCGTTTTGTTGATGGTTTCCTTTGCTGTGCAGAAGCTTTTTAGTTTGATGTAGTCCCATTTGTTTATTTTTTCTATTGTTTCCCTTGCCTGGTCAGACATGGTACTTGAAAATATGCTGCTAATGGGGCCAGCCCAGTGGCACAAGTGGTTAAGTGCGCACACTCTGCTGCGGCAGCCCAGGGTTCGCCGGTTCGGATCCTGGGCATTCACCGACGCACTGCTTGGCAAGCCATGCTGTGGCAGTGTCCCATATAAAGTGGAGGAAGATGGGCATGAATGTTGGCCCAGGGCCAGTCTTCCTCAACAAAAAAAGAAGAGGATTGGCAGATGTTAGCACCGGGCTGATCTCCTCACACACACAAAAAAGAATATATGCTGCTAAGACAGATGTCAAAGAGCCTACTGCCTATGTTTTCTTCTAGAAGTTTTATGGTTTCAGGTCTTACATTCAAGTCTTTAATCCATTCTGAGTTAATTTTTGTGTATCGTGTAAGATAATGGTCTACTTTCATTCTTTTGCATGTGGCTGTCCAGTTTTCCCAACACCGTTTGTTGAAGAGACTTTCCTTTCTCCCTTGTATGTTCTTGGCTCCCTCGTTGAAAATTAGCTGTCCCTAGATGTGTGGGTTTCCCATGAGTTAAATGAGTATAACAAGCGTGCTTAACACCAAATGGCTCAAAGACCTAAAAGCAAAAGGTCAAACTATAAAGGTAATAGAAGAAAATGGCAGAGAAAAATTTTGTGACTTGGGGATGAGGAAGTGTTTTTTAAAACTTCAGAAGGACTAACTATAAGGCAAAGCTTGTTTAATTTGATTATATCAAAGTTAAGGATTTCTGTTCAACAAAAGATGCCATGGAGAAAGCAAATCGATGGGCATAGATATCTGCAATCTGTAATATTGATCTGGGGTTGCTATCTAGAATGTGCAAGGAAACCCTGCATATAAATAAGAAAAATGTTAAAGGATATGAACAGGAGATTTGTAGAGGAGGAAACCAAAAAAAAATGATATGAAAAGGTGCACAGACTCTTTAGGCATCTAAGAAATGCAAATATTAATAACATATCACTTTATCAGATGGATTAAAATCTTTAAATAATCCAAGTATTGTCAGGGATGCAGAGACACAGGAACCTTAGTGCACAGCTGGCGTGAATGTAAATTGGTGCAGTTATTTTGGAAAGTAATTTGGCGCTCCTTGATCGAGTTATGTCTGTGCACACCCTAGGATCCAGGAGTTCCACTCCTGGATGTCTATCCTAGAGCAATGATCATGCAGGTCACAAAGGAACAAGTTCAAGGTGTTCCTCACTGAGCTGTTTGCTGTGCTGGGAATTAGAGGAGACCTGGGTGCCCACTATTGGGTGCATGGATGATAGGATGTGGTGAAGACCACCATGGAGGACTATACAGCAGTTAAAAACAACAGACTAGATGTGCACATAGCAACATGAATGGAATCTTAAAGGTATGGTGGGCCGGCCCTGTGGCTTGGTGGTTAAGTGCGCGCGCTGCAATGCTGGTGGCCCGGGTTCGGATCCCGGGTGCGCATCGAGGCACCACTTCTCCGTCCATCCTGAGGCCGAGTCCCACATATAGCAACTAGAAGGATGTGCAGCTATGACATACAACTATCTACTGGGGCTTTGGGGGGAAAAAATAAAATAAATAAAATCTTTAAAAAAAAAAAAAGGTATGGTGCTACCAACCTCAAGGGTGAAAGTTAAAAATACTGACAATACTAAGTGTTGGTGAAGATGTGGGACAGCTGGAACACTTACACACTGCTGATGGCAGTGTAAAATGGCACAACCACTTTAGAAAACTTTTGGCAAATTTCTTATAAAGTTAAACACACTTATGATACGATCCAGAAATTCCACTCTTAGGTGTCTGCCCAAGAGAGATGACGACATATGTCCACACAATGATTTGTATATGAATGTTCTCAGCAGCATTATTTGTAATAGTCAGAAAACTGGAAGCAACTCAGATATTCAGCAACCAGTGAATGAACAAATTGTGGTCTTTCCATATTTTGGAATACTAATTGGCAATAAAAAGGAATGAACAATTGATAGATAAATGCAAAAACATGGATGAATCTGAAAGGCATTGTGCTGGTGAGAGCAACCAAGCATTTATGTAATGTTCTTTAAAAGGCAAAATTTTAGTGGCAGAATGTAGATCAGTGGTTGCCTGGGGCTAGGGCAGGGAGGGGAGCTTTTGCAAAAAGAACTCCAGGCAGGCAGCTTAAGGATGGGGCGATGTTCTATGTTTTGATTTATAGTGGTGGTTACAGGATTGCATCCAATTTCCAAAATTCATCAAACTCAACACTTAAAATGAATGGATTTTATTTTATGTAAATAGTACCTTATTAAAAATGAAAAAAGCATAGTTCTGAGCTCAAAAAAAATTATAATAAGCTATCTACCACAATACCATTGACATAAATTAAAAATACATGCACACAAAGCAATACACGATTTGTAAGAACATATACTAATAAAAAGATATACAACATTGTGAATGTACTAAATGCCACTGAAATGTACACCTTAAACAATTAATTACAATGTGTGAATTTCACCTCAATAAAAAAGCTATGCGACAATACATACAATAGCAAAGATACACAATAATAAGTAGCAAAGGAAACACAATAATAACAACAATAGCAAAGGATATACAATAATAAAACAACAGCAAAAGATACACAATGACCAAGACAATAGCAGAAGAGAATGCGAATAAAATAAATTAGGAAAACAAAAGGGGTCTTATACAGATCACTAAAGATAATGTGCCACTGTCTAATTCAACTCTCTATCTGAGGATTGAGAACTATCTAAATATAGTAATAAACTTTAAAAAAGTAGTTCCTCCTTCAGCGGGCTCTCGGGAGGACTAATTGAGTTACTATGGGAAAAGCACTCAGAACACCTGACACTGAGTGAAATGCTTACTAAGTGGCAGCTGTCATTGGTCTTATTGTTGCTCTTATTGACATAATTGTTATGATGCTCTGTCTCCAAGGCCAGAGTGCCAGAGCAAGCAGCCTTGGATGACAGCTGGGGATTGGGAAGAATGGGAGGCAGCCGCCCAAATCCTTCCTGTGGAAGAAATAATGATGTACCTGAGCTGGAGATTCTGACTGCCAACAACAACTTAATTCAGGAAGGCTGGCCAGGTGGTGAGCTTTCTCAGCCCTCCCTCCTCCCTCTCCAAGAATTTTGGAGCCACCTGCGCTCCTGCCTGTTTTTGCTCAGGGGAATTATAGTAACAATGGAATCCTGTGCTGGAAGGAATTCGCAAGGTTGATAGAGGGAGAGAAGGGGGTGGAAAAGACTGGGATAGAGACGAAAGCAGGCAGGGAGAGGTGTCAGAGGGTTAACAATACTTCCGGCGTTGGCCAGGCATATAAAGCCCTTTCATTTCATTCTCCCTAGACCCCAGTCAGGGAAATGTCAGCTCCCCATTTGACAGAAGTGTAGACCTAGACTAAGGGAAATTCGCCAGTGTGTTGAACCCATCCAGGCTGATGGAGATGCATTCCTGTACTTCTCCAAGAATATTCCCAGAGACATCCCCCTCTAGTCTGGAAGGTCCAAGCCAAATTCAGACACTGCCCCAACTGCATGACCTAGTATAAGGGACTAGGCTGGCTTTCCGGGCAAATGGGGGTAATTGGGTTTTCACCCAATTCCAATGTGTGGGAGTGTGGGAGGGGTTCCCGCACACCACCAAGGAATTCTCGGACACCAGCTGGGTGTCCTCAAATTCAAACTCAATT